GGAGCTTCCTGCATCTTAGCCCTCAACAAGCGGTCTGACCACTGTTGCATCAAGGAATACTCGACAATGTTCGCCGGATCCATGGCCAGAGACCTGCGCTGGAGAGCCTGCAGAACATGAACCTCCGAAACTGTTGATGCCTTCTCCTCGGCACCCTTGGTCTCGACCTTCAGGCGGCCCGAATTCTCATCTACGGTGAATCGAGTGTCCTTTCTTCGATCGGACCCTACCTCTTGCTCACGAGAAGTACAAGCTTCCCAGCTGAGGTACCTCAGCTCATTGCTCTCATAACAGGCAACGGCCTTGTCAACAAGGGCCTCGCTTGGCTCACTCTGATTCTTAATCAGGACACCAACAAGCTTGGTCTTCTGCTTCTCGTACCTCTCAGCTCGTTCTGGTTGCGTCAGCCGACGACTTGCCGGTTCTTCGCTCTTCTCGATCTTTTGCTTGAGCTCGGAGGTCACTATCGCGTATGCTTCGTGATACAAAGCTCGAAAACTAGCTTGCACGGCCAGTTCGGCACCCCTCCCCAGCATGGACTTGAGTGCAGCCATGAGGGGTGCTTCGTCAGCTTGCCCTGGCGTAAAGCTCGAAATGAAAGCCAACTGCCGCAATGATGACACGGAGCTTTTGACCTTAGTGGCATCGTCCTTCGGGAGACCGCTTGCGTCCACTCTGGCCTGAAACACACTCTGACTGTCAGAGTAAGAAGCAGCCATGCTCGGGCGCGCTAAAGAAAGTCAAGCAAACGGTCTCGGGCCCTCCAAAAGCTTTACAGCAGTGCTCCTCGCAAATGGAGATTCAATCAAGATCACTCAAGTCAAATGGCAGGGCTTGTTCTTGTGTGTTAAAGGTACCCTCTCAAACTGACAAGCTCTCCTAGCGATGTGTCATTCGCATCCATAAGTGGCTTGCAGAGAATTCCCATTTTGTTTCGCATATCGCTCAAGAAGGCCAGGAAGAGGGTCTTCGCCCATCCTGAATCTATATAGCGGTTTCAAGACTCCGGGCAGCATTGCTTGCACACGGGGAACAAAACCTTTGGCAGCCCTCTACACTCTTGGTAAGAGGTGTTGATCTTGCGCCCACACCGAAAATGTGTCCCCTCCTCGGATGCAACCACATGAAGGAATCTGGTCACCGCGTGTTTGAACACAGGCTTGCCCTCAAGCGCCTCACGTAAACCTTGCACCGGTTCCCAGGCACTAACAACTTCGTCCGCAGCTTTCTCCTCCTCGGCAGGGTCTTTGTCCTCCTCGTCCTCGGATCCCTCTGACGAGAGGCTTATCTCGTCCTCGGCCGTCGGCAGTCCGCCCTGCCTGACACTGCTGGGAAACATCCCGGAGCGCGTCGCATCAGGCAAGAACCTGCTCACCGCTACGGCCGCAATAATGGTGTCCAGGACCCTCAAGGCAGGTGCAACATTATCACGCCCATAGACTACATCCGACTTGCTCCTGGAAGAACTATGATAGCCCATAATCAGACGGGTATCCCGGTCAACGCCCCATTTAGCGGCCCATGACAAACATGTGGCTTTGAGTGAATGAGTGCCGAGGGCGCGCACACCTGACGCCTCCTGGCCTGACCTATGCAGCAAGTTGCGCAACCACCACGCTGACAGGTGACTCCTGCCACCCGCCCCCTTCCACAGGTGAAGGAAGTAAAGGCTTGCCCAGCCCCCATTCCGGACCATGCTCCTTGGCAACCTCAAGCCACCTAAGTGCCCACGAGTCCTGCGACAGGCCCTGGATGCCCGCGCACATCGCCAAGAAGCGAGTTTTGCGTTCCAAGTTATAAGCGGTTTTTGATCTAGTGACTGAGGCCTCTAAGTAGCCAATCGGGCCGTCACTGGTGTCCACTACATCACTAACCAAATCACCGCTGGCCTGCATATCGCTGAATCGGGCACGGGAACAAGATGCCTTCGAGAGCCTTAACATGTTGGACTGTCAAAGGAGGTTTTTGCTGCAATTTGCGTTTCTCCAAAAACATGAGGTTGGCTGCCCCAGAGACACGGGTGCTGAAGATATCATTTGCAAGCTTGGCCTCAAGGACATGCTGCGTGAAGGCTACGGACCCCAGAAAGCTCTTGCCGAACGTAGGCGCTTGCTTGCTGCAGTATCCCTTCATGAAGTCATACATGTCAGACTCATTGAGTGGGAACGGAGCTACCCCCGCATCCTGACAATGTTTGATGAACCTGAGCACGGGGCCGACCCGGCTGTGCAACGTACTGCTTGCCTTCATCGAGAAGACGTCCTTCAGCACTTCCAGGAGGTCCGTCCCCTTGCGGGCCAGAACCTTTTGCCACCTTGTCCATCAATCCAAAATGTTCCCTATGCGCATTCAGTACACGCTCCCACTTAATCAAAGCTGCCAACCTATTTTCGGTCAACTTCACTTCCCAAGGCTTGCCTATCTCCCTTCGCGGTTGGAGGAGCAAAACCAGACACATCAGCTTTGGGAGGTGGCCCAGCCTTAGCCACGGGCGCCTGAGTTGGCAACACAGCTGAACCTGAGGCCGCATTGAACCTGTGATGGGCAGGTAGGCTAGGGAAGGCAGAGCACGGGTTTAGGATGGGGGACCTATCCCACGGCTGAACATACCTGCTCCTACCCTGCTTCCAAACGTACTCAAGATGCTGGTCATAGGCCGAATCACGCAAATGTTGTTTAAAAGCATCATCCTGCCTGCGCTTCATCTCACTAACCCCACTCAAGAAACTGAAGAGAAGGCAGTGCACAGCTCGAAACTGAAGCAATCAATTTAGGCTGTAGAAGGAAAACTCGACAGAATCCGTGTTTTCGGGCAAACCCCCAAGAAAGTCAATCTGCAGCTGGAGGGCACGTGCGCGCAAAATCAATTGATTAACAATGGCACTGATGCTGTCTAACCTAAAGTAGAGGTCAGAGACCGCTTCGAGAGCTTCGTGCTCAAGGCGCCGCAGGCGGTTGTCTAGGGTATCAAGCGCACGCTGCTGACTTGTGATCACTTCTTCCAGTCGGGCAATATGAAAAGCGGCCCACAAGGCGTGTTGCTCAAGATGCTCAAGGGCAGGGCTGCCTTCCATCCACTTCCGAACCCACAGTGGCTCGGCGATGCCCCTACAACTGGTTTTTACAGGGCTCACGGGTTCCCGGAGGCTGCTAGACTGTCAGCTACGCGCCTGTGGGAAAAATTTTCAAGTGTGGGCCCACGCACCACAGCTTGAGCATCAGTGCTGCCTTGTAGCACAGTCATTCCATGCCCACACATGACGTAAACCAAACCTCAGGTGGAGTTTGTGAGACATCTCAAGTTTCCCAGAAAATCCTGACATGAAATTCAGCGGTTCGAAATTCAGTGGTTTCAAAAATCCACGTCAAGAAATTGCACGCGCAAAAAGCGAGTTTCAGAAAGTCATACTTTCAGAAACATTGCGGGCTATAAAGCATTATGAGACGCGTCTCAAAGGTAGCGTGCGCAACCACAGTGTACAGAATAAATGTTTTAGCTTGGACTTGCAGATCACCAGCCCCGCTTGTGGCAGGCATCGCAGGCATGGTGCCTGTGCCCACTACGCCGGGCAGGATCGTCCACACGCGGACAGACGTCTGTACACTGCGGATTGTCACACGGCTGACCGCAGACAGGTCCCAGACGGATGCGGCGACGATGAGCACGGCGAGCAGGAACTGCAGGAAGTTCACCAGTGGGCAGGTCCGGAGGCGGAGCCACAGTCGGACTGGCCCAGCGAGTGCCCGGAGGTACCTCTGGTCCCATCAAGGCTCAGCCCTGGAACAGGCAGGTCCTGGGGTGACTGGCACTGGCGGGGCAGCAGCTCGCTTGGCTGCCGCAGCTTGCTGCAAGTGCAAAGGCGCTGGGTCAGATCATCATCCAGACGGTTGGTGCGCAGGAAGTGCTGGGCGGACGCTTCGTCAACCTCGGCAAGGACGGCAATCAGACGGCGACGTGCAGCCAGAGGGAGCTCTGCAAAGAAGTTGCGCGCCTCCTCGCAGTGGGCCGAAAACATGCCTAACTGCAAGTAGCTAAGGTGGCTACGGCTAGTCAAAATTAGGCTTGAGAGGAATAGAGCTACTCTACCAACATGAGTTCAGCAAGAAAACGGACAGACATGCACATGCCAACATGTTCTGCCCACTGCGGCACGGAACAGCGCAATTTTGCAGCACCACGATGCGGTATAGGCAGGTGTGGAGGAAGCGCAAGCGGAGCAGCGGACACGGAGTAAGGAAGGTGAAATCTAGAGAACCAAGGGTTAGGGCCTAGGGCAAGCTAAACCGGCGTGAACCACATTAGAGCGATGATTATAAATGTATAGGCCAGTGGCTGTGGAGGTCCGGACGCGGCAAAGTTGACGGCCCGAATTCCGGACGAGAAGGAGGCATAGAGTTGGAAGTTGGAGGCAAGGGGCGACGCAAGGTCAGCCTCAGGCTCCGAGTCGTCTGACAAGGCCGAGGCGGATGAAACACTGTCAACTGGAGAGGGTGCAGTCCTCCAGAGGCAGAGGACGGCTCCGAGATTGGAGACGGCTCAACTTCCTGACCCACAAAAACGGAGCAGGGAAAAGCAGGAGCCACGGGCAGGGCCACACGGGTCTGCTAGGGTAGGCAGAGGAGGCCGGAATCTGCACAGGAAAGTCGGGAGTCGAGGAGCCACAAGGCAGGGGCTGCAGGGGGCGGAAACCAGCCCGGACATGGTTAATGACCTGGAGGTCCAGCATGGGACGGATGTTGCCCCGGCCGTAAAGTTCAACCGGACAGGCGGTGATGGCCTTGTATGCGGCGAAGCGTCCGCTCAAGGGACATTTGACGGGACCAGGAGGACTTGCACATCCACGCCAGGGCCCTAAGCGGGCCAGCGGCCAAGCCCTGCTTGCTCATGCGGGTGGCCAGCCAGTCGGAATGCCAGTCAGACAAATTGGCAAAATCAGCACACTCATACGCGCACAGCATGATCGTATATGCTGACACAGACCGCGACCAACCCTTTACCATCATGACTCCCATTGGGGAGACATTGCCTTTCAGGTTCTCGGAAACCTCACTGGCAGAAACCGGGAACGGCAAACCCAGCCCTGGCTTCAAAGAGGCGATGTGAAACTTCTCCACCCCGGCTTCGTTCGGATCGGACTTCAACCTGCAACGCCCACATGTCTATGAAATTTATCACCTTGTCCTGGTACGTCACGATGCCCATTTCCCATGTATAATCAAGCGGCCCATGAGCCAGCATGAGCTGGCAGAGTTGCAAGTGGCAGTCCAGGGCTGGCAACAATCACTGAACCACATGAGCTCACATTGAACACCGTGTGAAGTAGCTCAACCTAGGGGCTGGCTCCACAGGCCAGAGGACGGAAGAAACGGAAGTTGCCAAGGTCTCAAGAAGGTTGCTCCCATCTTTTAAAGCCATCGTGCATCATGTAGTTCCTTGGCTGAAAAAGTCAGGTTCCCTTAGTTAAGTCCACGCATCCACTGCGCCAGTGATCAGCCCGAATAGTTATACAGAAGCCAAGACGCACACTCTTGTCTGTAGGCAGGTTCTGCTCGGCCCAAGCGCAGAAATTCAAAATTTTCTCCTTGTTAGAACAAGGTAAAAGATTCTTACGCTGAGACTTCCTAAGATACAAACAGTTCTGCAGCTGATTGAATGCTTTTCCGGCGCTGCTCCTTGCTGGAGAAAGCACTCTGCAGGTACGTGTCAATGGTTTCATGG